TCTTGGGTTTAAAGGTTTTGCTAGAGCGTGATCCACTAAATAAAGTTGTAAAAATAACTAGGATTATTGCAAGTATATTTATTTATATCTAATAACGAAGTAATGTTTTAACAGGCATAAAGAGTAAGTATAAGTAAATATAGTAAAAATTGCGTTTATAAGGTTACATACAAAGGAAATGCAATAATTACGACAGAGAAAAGAAAAACAAATTGGTAAGATATTATTGACTGTACAAAAGGTATATTTCCAAATCTAATTCGGTTGTTCAAGATTGGTAAAATCTATGTCTAACAAGTTTGAGAAATGGTTGTAGCTCGATAAGATTAAGATAATTGGCGCGTTTGCATCAAAAACCGTTCTGCTTAGCCCATCCTTAAAAAGATCAAAGCGACGCAAATTACGGCTCGGAACCATTTCCACGACAGCCGGTTCTACGTACCGGAATGACTCGGGGTTTACCCGAACAAGGGCTGTTGTTTCAGCGATCTAACCCCGTTTAGGTCGGCGAAACCCATCAATCGTTATTCGATATTGGGGCTACATCAGCTCCGTACCATTCTGCTCAGGGCTGGCATGAAGTCCAACCCAGGGCCAGAAATTTACACCTGCTGCGTATGCCAGAGACGACGGCATACAAACTCCACCTCGGTCAAGTGCAATGCCTGTGACGGGTGGAGTCACCTCCGTAACTGCTCGGGCCTACGTGCGCACCGGCATTGGACCACGTCATTCGTGGCCCCATGCTGTGCGAATCGGACCGCCTCCGTGGCAACCCACCACCCGCCCGTGCAGCACACAACCAACACACCCACACCCCAACACAACACAACAATAGACAAACAAACAAATACCGCAACGTGACATCAGTCAAGTGCAAGGTAGGAGGCTGGTGTCATTTTAGGGCATGCTCAGGACTTCGCAACACGCGTGATTTGGCGAGTGACTATGTGGGCCCCTGCTGTGCTGCCCAGTCGCATACCTCCCCCGCGACGCCGCCAACGACCACCACAAGGCAGCACCCCCTTTTGCAGCACATACAGCAGGGAACCGGCAGGCAACACAACTCCTTAACTCCACACATAACAATTGGTCTCCCAAGGCACACAAAGGTGCTACAGAGGAGATAACTGGGATATGGGAAGGCATGGCAGTGATCGGAGTTCAAATAATTCTGTGTGGTAGAATCTGGAGAAAAATGTGTAGGATTTCAAAAAAATGTGGTAGATCTCAGGTTTTTGATCAAACATTGTACAAAAATTAAAGAAATTCAGTAAGTTTTCACCTAAATTGCAATCTTTTTAATTATACTCTAAAAAGAATTAATTTTAGTATAACAAAGTGCTAGATTGAATTGAGTTTTGTCAATTTGTTCCTTGACAGTGTATAGCGGTTCCTTCCATATCAAAATATTTTTCGAACATAAATTTTTTTGCAACCTTGCGGAGTGCTGCCAGCATTTCATTCTATTACAACACGATGTAGCGAACAAATGTGGCACGTTACAGAAACCGCTACTTGTGATTTGCCGATTTTGAGAATTCTCAGAAACTTTAGACGCACCTCAGAAACTTTAGACGCACTGAAATCTGCTAATACTTTCACAAAAATCGCCGTGATTTATTTTCGCTATTATTTTTTTTTAATTATATATTTTAAAATTTAACGTAATGAAATCACGATTCCTGTCCAAAAATTTATTATTGAGAAAATGTACTATTTTACAATTTATTACAACGCTTTTATCAACTTACAATGTTGTATGTCCAGAAACTTTCAATGTTGTGGATCCAGAAACTTTCAATGTTGTGTGTCCGACACCATAAAACCTTTGCTTTGAAAAGTTCCGCATAGTGCATAGGGCGACATCTGTAGTGAATAGGGCGAGGTAGATGACATATAGATGTCGCCCTATGTACTACGTTTGCTACAGCGGAAATAGACGAC